GTATGTGTATGTGTATGTGTATGTGTATGTGTATGTGTATGTGTATGTGTATGTGTATGTGTATGTGTATGTGTATGTGTATGTGTATGTGTATGTGTATGTGTATGTGTATGTGTATGTGTATGTGTATGTGTATGTGTATGTGTATGTGTATGTGTATGTGTATGTGTATGTGTATGTGTATGTGTATGTGTGTGCCTAAAATCCCAAGAGGAGAATGGAAAGGAACGGTAGTTTGGCCATCTTCCCTGAGGCGTGCTTAGTCACTCTCTCTCTCTCTCTGGAGTGCATGTGCCCTATAGTAAAAAACAAAAAAAAAGCAAAATCTATGGGATCCTACATGTAATAAGCCACACATGCATAAAAAGCACTGCCTTGAAGCTAGCAGGTGGCATAGTAATTAAGATGCTGGACTGCCACATAGCCAACCATGGTTCAAGTCTCAGACCTGGTGGCTTGAAAATCACGCCAGATGTGTGCCCCAAATCCCAGGAGGAGAATGAAGAAGGAGGGATTAAGGCATGGCCATCTCCCCTGGGGCGGGGGGTGGGGGATTTGATATGGCCAAAACTTTAAGTAAAAAAAAAAAAAAACCACTACTTGTTTGCCAATAGATGGTGTTCCAAATGATAATGAAATTTCTGTGATCGTATTCCTCTTTTTATTAATTCAAGAAGAAAACTCAGACAAAATATTGGCAGGGCCTACAGTGAAGGGAAGGTCCCATCATGCATCACGCTCACGTGGTACAGATTGCTTCTGCTCCTAAGGTCTAGATTTGTGGCACGTGCCCATGTGCGCTCCATTTTCTGCTCCAAGCAGAACCATCAGCACACAGTTTTTTTATTTCTGATATGACTTACCATCGAACATTGGGATTTTGAGAAATTATATCTCTTTCCAAAGCTTCTACTAAGTCCTTATCATATCCAGTACTATCAAACTTATTTGCCTCTGGTTCTGTAACTGCAGCAGGCGATTTGTTCTACATCAGGAAAAGAAAACAAAGAGCTTCTGATTGATTTGAAAATTATATTTTGTGTCTATAAATCAGAAACAAAAATTAGACTCAAGTGGTACAACTTAAAAAGCGAATACAATAATACAACACTAAGGACAGAATCAGAGACTCTAAGTCATTCTTCCATATCCACATCAGAGATTCATACTCAGTTTCTGCTTTTACATAAAAAATACAGCAAAAACTGGGACCAGTAGATGGCAAAAATGGTTATGTTGCTGGAATGTCATGTAGTTGACTGTGGTTCGAGTCCTAAACCTGGTGGCTTCAAAGTCACTCTGGGTATCTGTGCATGCGTGCCCAAGATCCTGAGAGGCGAAGGGGTCACAGCATGGCCATTCCCCGGGGAGTGATTTCTTGCTTTCTGTCTGTGTCACTCTGTCTCTCTGGTGAGTACATCATACACTCTATAGCAAAAAATCTCTCTTAAAAAAAATTGCAAAAATTTTGAAGAAAAATAACAAAAATTACTGGGCATATGAACTAGCTAGCATCAAAAAAAAAAAAAAGATAATATTGAGAGTTATTGTGGTCACTAGTGAATATCAGATGTGTATCACACTTATTTCAGTGCTTTAGAAAAGAGTTAGTATGGCTCAAACTTGATCTACCTACTGGGTCACAAGGGCTCCTAAAACACTTTTTTTTTTTTTTCACCATTCCCATACCCCTCCAAAAGCTCTACCTCAGTCTTTAGGTGAGAGTCTTCTCATCCTCTTAGATGGCAATCATTAGGGCTGCAATTCCTAAGCAGACTACCTAAGGCATGATGGCAAATTCAGGAACTAAAACAGAACCACTGTTCTGAAAGTTCAGGGATGTACGATTCTAGGACTACCTGGTAAAAGGGAATCGAGGGTGGGCCAGCAAGTGGCATGGTGGTTAGGACCCTAGACTCCCACATGCTGATTGCAGTTGACTCCCAGACCAGGCAGCTTGAGAATCACACAGGGCGTGTGCACATGCATACCCAAAACCCCAGGAAGAGAAGTGAGAAGGGATTGCAGCATGGCCATCCCCCTGGTGGATGATCTCTCACTTTCCCTCTCTCTGTCTCTCTCCGGCCCTATAGCAAAAGTCTTAAAAGGAATCGAGGAAACAAGACTGTTCAGATTAACAAAGGAAAGAGATTCCCAGAAATGGGTATGGGCGTAGGGGTGGTAGAAATAAGGCAGACGGTACAAAATTAAGAGCTAAGTGAACATATGCACTTTATCAAAAATCAAGTGTGAGTTTGCTGGTTAGTGAATGAAGTTCTCACAAGAATTGCAAAGCTAGGGGCTGGTGGGTGGCATAGCTGACCGTGGTTCAAGTCCTGGGCCTGGCAGCTTGCTTGCTTACTTACTTTCTCTCTGCCTGGTAAAATTAAAAGAAAAAAAAAAAAAAGAATTGCAAAGCTAAATTGAAAATCAGGAGAAAGAACTTGAAGTAAGGCAGGGTAGGGAGCTAATTTTATTTTAAAAGGAGTGGATAAATGTTATACACTGTAAAGATGTATGTGGTTAAATGCAATAAATAAATAAAAAGAATGCTAAACATTTGTGTGAAACATATAAAATAAATGAAGACTCCTCCCATCAAAAAAACAAAAAAAGGAGTGGGTAAGGGCACCACTGGGGCTTTATATTTTGCTATGTTCAGTTTCTGCTTTGCCCTGGTGATTAGGTACGGACACAGTCTGCCCAACAAGTAACCCTGCGCTTTACTACATCACGGTCACTGGAAATGTACCTTGGATGGGGAGGTGGGAGAGAAGGGGAAGAGGTGGAAGTAGAGAGAACAAAACCCAAGTTCTTAGATTCTCATGTGCTTCTTACCACTCGGCAGTAAAACCCCTCAGAAATCACTCACTGGCATCAAAATCTTGGCTTCTAAATGCTATCCCCACCAATAAGGACCAGGCCTCCCAGAGAACGGGTATTTCAGGAACAGGCAGGGGAAACACAGACAAGCCTGGAAGATCCTGTTGTGCCAGAAAATGAGAAGGTGCTCAGAGAATGATGGCAACATGTCAAAAGGACAAAGTATTGCCAGACACAGTGTCGTGTACCCAAGTCCCAGCTACTCAGGACACTAAGGCAGGACTGCCAGTTCACGGCCAGCTTGGGCAACACAGTGATACCCTGTCTCTAGGAAAGAAAAAAGACAGAGGGTCCAACCTCAAGAGTCCTCCATTCTTCAAATCTAATTTAAACATCAAAATAGTAATGACAACAACAGATTATAACTCACTATATAAAAGAAGAACTGGGACCAGCAGTTAGCATAATGGCTATGTCGCTGGACTCCCACGTAGTCGACCGCGGTTCGAGTCCTGGCCCCGGTGGCTTAAACTCACACCGGGGGCATGTGTGTGCATGCCCAAGATCCCAAGAAGAGAATGGAGGAGAAGGGATTGCAGCATGGCCATCCCCCCTGGGGGGTGATTTCTCGCTTTCTGTCTCTCTCTCTCTGTCTGTCTGGTGAGCGCCCAGGCCCTATAGCAAAAAAAAAAAACCTCTCCAAAAAAAAGAGAAAAAAAAATGAAAAAGATATTGCCCTACCTTATGTCAATTAATTAATATAGAAACAATAATGACATTGAAAAATCATGTCTTTGCAATCAGTATAGAAATAAGTGATTCAGACAAGAATTGCTAGATGTTAAAACAAGAGAAATGCTGATGAGAAACAGAATATTCAGTCTCAAATGTTATCTCCCCATGAATTATTACAAAGGGTGAAACAGTAACTTTATAGTGGAGACCTGGCCTTGCTCACAGGATCCAAGTTATCACCAGTAATAGAACAAATAGTCATTAGGTGCCTTCTTGTATGAATACTGAGAGAACAAACTACCATGCTAAAGTTATTCCTGCCAAAACTCATAACCGTGATCTAATCTTGAGGAAACAGCAGACAAGCCTAAATTGTGTGACTTTCTACAAAATAACTAGCCTGTACTCTTCAAAAATGCCAGGAAAACACACACACACACACACACACACACACACACACACACACAGGCTGAAGAAATGTTCACATTGAAAGGATAAAGTTGGTGGGACCAGCAGTTAGTTTAATGGCTATGTCGCTGGACTCCCATGTAGTCGACCATGGTTCAAGTCCCGGACCCAGTGGTTTAAACTCACGCCAGGCACATGTGCGTGCATGCCCAAGATCCCAAGAAGAGAATGGAGGAGAAGGGATTGTGACGTGGTCATCCTCCCTGGGGGGGTGATTTCTTGCTTTCTGTCTCTCTGTCTCTGTCTTTCTGGCGAGCACATGCATCCTATAGCAAAAAACCTCTCCAAAAAAAGAAAAAAGAGGCTAAAGTGGTCTGGCCGCAGTGCTGGTAGATTCTGCTACCTGGGAGGCTGAGGCCACATGAGAGGCTCAGTTTAGATTCTGGCCTGGCCTAAAAAGGGGAGCTGTGGCACGTACCAATAGTCCCAGCTACTCAGAAGGCTGAGACAGGATGATTACGACATAGTGAGACCCTGTCAGAAAAAAAGAAACAAAAGAACTACACGTGGGAACCAGCAGGTGGCATAGTGGTTAAGGTGCTGGACACTCCCGCGTAGTCGACCATGGTTCAAGTCCAGGACCTGGTGGCTTGCTTTCTCACTTTCCCTCTCTCTCTGTCTCTGTCTCTCTCTGGTCAAATTAAAATAAATGAATGAATAAATATAATTAAATAAATAATTCTTTTTAAAAAGTGATGATATGCATAGCACTTTTAAAAAAACTAAACGCAATGACAACAAAATGTAATGTGTGTGATTCAATATTGGAATCTGACATGGGAGGAAAAGGAGGAGGAGAGCTACAAATGACATTACTGGGATAACTGGAAAATGTTATGAAGATCTTTGGACTAGGTAAGAGTACATATCAATGTAAAATTTATAGTTTGTGATAATTGTGTTGTCTTTATGTTAAAGACCTTGAACTTAGGAGACACTCCGAAGTACTGAAGGGTAGAGGCATTCTATCTACAAGTCACTCTCAAGTGATTCAGAAAAACAAGTATACAGAGAAAGTAAATGGTAAAGCAAAAGGGGTGAAATATTCATTATTGATAATACCAGGTAAAGAATACACAGAGGTTCCTTTTACCATTCCTGTAATGTATTTGTTAGTTTGAAATTATATCAAAATACAAAGTTATAAAAACAACTACAAGTCCAGTCCTGTAGCTAGGGAAGCCAGATCCCACATGACTGAGGTTCAAATCCCAGATTTGACGGCTTGAAAAATACTCCAGGTGTGTTGCATGCATGCCCATGATCCCGACAAGATAAAGTAATGAGGGGCCAGCAGGTGGCATGGTGGTTAGGTGCTCTGGACCCCCACATGGGCAACCACGGTTTGAGTCCTGGACCTGGTGGCTTACTTTCTTTAAATAAATAAATACATACATACATAAAGTTAAATAAAATAATTATTTTTAAAAAAAGATAAAGTAATGAAGGAGTAGAAATTGTGTCGAGACCATGACCCTTGGAGCGGTTCTTTCTCCCTCTCCCCCCTATCTCTCTGTCTCTCTCTGGTGAGCACATATATTCTCTCTGTCCAACAAAAGGGAAAAAAAAAATCAGACATAAATTTTTGTTGAATGATCAAACAAATCTCAGCCAAGGTACAGTATAATCAAGCTTTTCTGACAAATTGATGACTAAAACTTACTGAAATTTGTATGGTCTAGGGGCCAGCAGATGACATAGTGGTTACAAAGCTGAACTCCCACATGGATGATTGAAGTTTGAGTCCTGGACTCAGTGGCTTGAAATTCATGCTAAACATGTTTGCGTGCATGCCCAAGATCTCGGGAGGAGAATGGAGGAAAAGGGATTGCGCCGTGGCCATCCTCCCTCGGGGGTGATTTCTCACTTTCCCTCTCACTGACTTTGTCTTTCTCTCTCTCCCCGGTGAGTACCATGCACTAAGGTAAAAGCTTCTTAAAAAAAAAAATTGTACGATTTATATTGTTTTAATTTTTTGCTAATTTGCTACAGAGCAAATGCACTCACCAGAGACAGAGCAAGGGTGGATTGGGAGGAAGGAGGGCAGGGAATGAGAAATCACCCCCCTTAGGGGATGGTCACACAAGAATCCCTTCCTTCTCCATCTCTCCTTTTGGGATTTCAAGCATACATGCACATGTGCCTGCCTGGCATGCTTTTTAAGCTGCTGGGTCTAAGACTCAAACTGCAGTCAGTCACGTGGGATCCAGCCACCACCATCAGCTAGCCTACGTGTTTATTTTTAGGGTTACTTAATAATTTCATCATTAATGAACATTAGTAACACTTACCTTTTCTTCCCTTCCTTTATTCTGTTCTTTCTTTTCACGACATCGAACAGCTTTCCCTTTGTCATTGTGAAGATTCTGTGCAGATGGACGGTGAACTCTGACAGCAGTACTCAGACGGTTACTGTGTGGTTTAGGGTCATTATACTGAGGAGACTGGCGTTTCCTAGGTCCTGGTGAGGGTCTAATCAAACACGAGATCATTAAAATCATAATCAACCCCTGGAATTGGTCCAAATGTAGACACACACACATAGTGTGTAAGTTAGAGTCTATGAAGCCAAGGCAACCCTGAGCACAGCATAGGATGGAATAAATTCAGGATCCTGAAACCTGAGATCTAAAACTTAAACTGACATGGCTTCTGTGAGACATGTCTACAGTGACTTAATGAGAAAAATGCAGTGTAGTTCTACTACTGAAATAATGGGGGAGAAATTATGGTCACCTCTACTTAGAAAGGGAATTATTACTATATATTAAAGATGAATGAGAAATTAGTCTGACTGTTGGAAACTGAAAGGAGCAATGATCAAAAAAGAGAGTTTTATTGGTGCCAGCAGGTGGCCTAGTGGTTAACGCACTGGGCTCCCACATGACAGACCACAGTTTAAGCCCCAGACCTGGAGGTCTGAAACTCAGGTTGGACACATGTGTGTGCACGCCCAAAATCCCAAGAAGAGAATGGAAGAGATCTCGTGTTTGCTGTGTGGCCACTCTGCTGGTGGGTGATTTCTCATTTTCCCTTTCTCTGTCCCTCTCTCTCTCTCTCTGGTGAATGCACCTAAAACAAAAAAACAAAAACAAACAAAAAAAAAGCAAAAAAAAAGAGAAACAGAGAGGCTGAGTTTTACCTAAAGAACCAGAATATAGTGCAAGTGTTGAATTCACATTTACCACTGGTACAGGTGTAATTTAGTACTATTTTATTTAGAATATGTAATTATTCTCATGTTCTAACTAATAAAAATTTAGTAATTTTCCCATTTTTAAAAAATGATATAAACACTAGCTGTAGAGTTAGAAGAACTCTTACATGGTGCTTTACATTTACATACGTCACCTCGTTTCATCTTTACTAGTGACAGAATTCAGAACTCTCAAATATTTATTAGGCTCCTACTTGGTTATGACCATAGGAAGAAAAAAGGCCAGGGAGCAGTGGTGTGTGCCTGTAGTCCCAAGAGGCTGGACAAGAAGGTTGCAAGCTCTAGGCTGGCCTGGCAATGCAATGAAACCTTGTCTGAAAGAGCCAAGTTCGGTGGTGTGTGGCTGTGGTCTCAGCTACTCAGGAAACTGAGGCAGGAGACTGGAGACATAGCAAGATCCTGTCTAAAACAGACACACAAACAAAACAAAGAAAAAAGGCTGCTTGTGTGCACATGTGGAGAAGAAAAACAAAAGGAAAAGGGTCCTCCTATTCTCAAAACACCTGCGAATATAGTTAAACAAAAACCATTAGTACAACGCTAGGTAAGCACACTAGAAGATGTCTGATAGACCTCAGGTTACTGCAATGGGAATGGCCTCCTGAAGACAGAAAGTGAGCTGGTCCTGGGAAAATGCAGAAGTTGAACTAAACAAGAGAGTGCTGTTGTAGACAAGAAAATCAACGAAAAAAAAAAAAAAAACCCAAAAGAATAAAAATGAGCTTGATCTACAGAAAGGATTATAAAAATACTAGCTGGGTGAATGGTGAGTGTTAAGAGATGATGCTGAATATAAAAGGCAGTGCAGTAAAGTGGAGGATTTGAATACCAGTCCAAGAGATAGGCTCTCAGCTAACTGCCGACCAGGACCCAGGGAAAAAGTTTCAGGAAGATCAGCCTACTACTGAACTAGATGTACTGACAAAAAACAGTCACAAATGTTACCAAGACATGAGGTGAGGTGAAGGCCTAGTTTAAGAGAAAAGACCAAGAGACCCAATTTTTTTTTTTTTTTTGAGAGATTTTCACTGTAGGGCGCGTGCGCTCGCCAGACAGACAGAGAGAGACATAGAGACAGAAAGTGAGAAATCACCCCCCAGGGGGGATGGTCACGCCGCAATCCCTTCTCCTCCATTCTCCTCTCGGGATCTTGGGCATGCACGCACATGCGCCCGGCGTGAGTTTTAAGCCACCAGGTCCGGGACACGAACCGCGGTCAACTACGTGGGAGTCCAGCGACATAGCCATTACGCTAACTGCTGGTTCCCGAGACCCAATATTTTAAAAGACACTTCCAGGGCCAGCTGGTAGCATTGTGTTAAGACAGCCAGATCCCACATTACAGACCACGCAGTTCAAGTCCCAGATGTGGAGGCCTGATAAGCACACTGTATAAGGACGTGACCAAAATTCCAAAGGGGAAGTAGGTGTCTGTCTCCTAGTGGGAGGCATTTTCTCACTTTCCTTCTCTCTGTCTCTGTCTCTCTCCAGCAAATATATCTATCTTCTGGAAAAAAAAAAGAAAAAGGCATTCTCAGATATGGGAATTCAAGTTTGGGAGGTTGATAAAACCAATGTGCATTTGGAGGCAAGGACAGGGGTTCAATGTTGGGTTTAGAAACTTGGATAGCCAAGTGGAAATATTCCTTTAAGATATAATTTATTTTTCTTGTCACTAGAAAAATAGCAAACAGACATTAAATACAATAAAGTATGAAGAATACAAAAATCATCTGTACCTTCATTATCCAGAACTAATTACCACATTGGTCTATTTCTTGAATTTTTGTTATTATTTCTTTTATTACATTTAAAAAACTGTTATACACATAAACTTTTTTAAAAAAGGAATTACTTAATTTCTTAAAGATTGTTTTATTTAACTTTATTTATTTATTTATTTTAATTTGACCAGAGATGGACAGAGAGAGAGAGAGGGAAAATGAAAAAGCAAGCTGCCAGGTCTGGGACTTGAACGGTGGTTGGTCATGTGGGAGTCCAGCGCCCCCCATCACCACATCACTTGCTGGCCCCATTTTAATTTATTTATTTTTTTTCACCTTGTTATAGTCATCAGAGAAAGAGAAAGAAAGCAAGGCAAAGTGAAAGTGAGAAAGCAAGCTGCCAGGTCCAGGACTCACAATGAAGTTGGCCACGTGGGTGTCTAATGCCCCAACCACCGTGCTATCTGCTGGCCCACATACATACACTCTTATATTTTTGTCTTCTTAGTATTTCATGAGACATTTCCAGTACCATCACTTCACGAATGACAGGATGGCCATCAATCACATAAAATGTGCCACCTTTATCCCCTTTTTAATGCGAGTCATTCATTCATTCAAAGAGCAATTTACTCAACTTCTCTATTGACAGGTACCACTCTATGCATTAGAGACATAAAACTTCTTAAAAAAAATTATTTTCTTTAACGTTTATTTATTTATTTTACTTTGACCAGAGAGGGACAGAGCAAGAGAGAAAGAAGGGAAGTGACAAAGCAAGCTGCCAGGTCCACGACTTAAACTGGGGTTGGTCATGTGGGAGTCCAGAGTCCTTAACCACCATGCCACCTGCTGGTCCCCAAAGAATTATTTGTTTAATTCCATTTATTATTATTATTTATTTTGATAAGAGAAATAGAGGAGAGAGAAAAGGAATGAGAGAACACAAGCCACCAGGTCCAGGACTCAAGGCTCAGTCAGCCATGTGGGAGTCCAGCATCCCAACCACTATGCTATCTACCAACCCCGAGATCTAAAACTTAAAAATGAGTTTAATAAAAGCCCTTACTCTGTATTGGGCATGGGGGCACCAGTGAAGAAATACATGAGATAAGTGCTATCAAGAAAAATAAGGAAGGGTAAGGGGCTACAGGACGACCAGGAGGTAGTATTGTGGCAGGTGGTCACAGGTGACAATTTTAAGTAGAGACGTAGATAAAATGTGAGAGTAAGTGATCAAATGCAGGAGCTGAGGGAAAGGCGAGTGAGAGGACAGATGTGTCTGTGTGCACGGCTGGTTCAAGGAAGCTGGAGCAGCCAGAGCATGGCGGCTAAGGAAGAGAGCTGCAGGAACTCAGGTCACTGAGGGAGCAGGTAGCTCTTACTTTCCCAGCGTTATCGACAAAGACAGAGAGAGTCCAGACATTTCCACTTCTTGCCTCATTCTTCTTCCACATTATGCTGTTCCCACTAGTTTAAGCTAATTCATGAAAGCATAATTTTGGATTATTGCCACCTACATTTTATTAATCAAAATAGGTCAGAGAATCATAACATATAATTCAAGAGTTATAAAAGTTGGGGCACTTGGGGCCAGCAGGTGGTGTGGTAGTTAAGGGCATTAGATTCCCACATGGCCGACCATAGTTCAAGTCTCAGACCTGGCTGCTTGCTTTCTCACTTCCCCGCCTCCCCCCACTCTGTTTCTCTGTAGTCAAATTAGTGAATAAATAAATAGAGTTTAAAAAAAAAAAAAAAAGTCAGGGCACTGGATTCCCACATGGCTGACTATGGTTTGAGTCTTAGACCTGGCAAGTTGAAAATCACAATAAATAAATAAATAGATAAATGAAAGAATGCTAAAAAAAGCTGGACATTTAGTATAAAACTCCTTTCCATTCCTGTCTCTGAGCCCCCAGTCTTCCTCTTGCACTCACTGCTTTCCTAAACGGTCCCACTTACCTTCGCTCAACAGGCACAGGCAAGGACCACACTTCTCCCTCCGAGGTTGGCAGTTCATGCTGGGCAGCTTTCAGGGGAGTGCTGTCTAGTTTAAAGCTTTCTAGTGTTTTCATGATATCCTTAACATGTTTGGCTTCCACATTTATTTCCTGCCAAACCTGTTTTCAAAGAAGAAAATGGCTCTTTAAATTTCTACAACTAATAAACCACTGCCAAGATTAGATTTGGCTTATTAGAAATGTTAAAACCCTCAATTTGATATCGGATACCCCAAAAAATGACATCAAGACATTCCATCAAAATTTTAACAATGGTTCATTAATTCCTTTTTTTTTCAATTGCAAAATTAATTCTGATAAGATGAACTGAATATTCTGGCTTATTAAATTACATTACCTGATTTACAGTTCTTATTCAAACTATAATACAAATTGAAAAGTTAGCTGTAACTTTGCAGTTAAACTTTTTTTTTTTTAAAGAGATTTTTGCTATAAGGCACACAGGCTCCCCAAAGAGGCAGAGAAAAAGCAAGGAGTCACCCTGCAAAGGATGTAGCTGTGCTGCAATCCCTTCTTCTCTATCCTCCTCTCAGGATTTTTAGGCATGCATGCACATGCACCTGGTGTGGGTTTCAAGCCGCCAGGTCCAGGACTTGGACCACGGTCAGGCACGTGGGAGTCCAGCAACGTAACCATTATGCCATCTGCTGGCCTCTACAATTTAACTTTTAAAATACTGATCAGAATCCACACATTTCTTAACTCGCCAATGGATCAAACTCTACAGGCTGAAAAACACAGTTTAAGAGAATGAATGTCTCAATTAACATGTAATCAAGATAGTTTTTAAAGAGACCAGCAGATGGTGGAATGGTTATGTCGTTGGGCTCTCATGCAGTCAACCACAGTTTGGGTCCCACACTCAGTAGCTTAAAATTCATGTTGGTCATGTGCCCGTGTGTGCATGTTGAAAATCCTGAGAGGAGAATGGAGGAGAAGGGATTGCGGCATGGCCATCCCTTGTGGGGGGTGATTTCTTGCTTTCTGTCTCTCTCTCTATATTTCTCTGATGACCACACATACTCTATAACAAAAATATGTCTAAAAAACAAAGAGACTTTGAAAAAAAGCAGTCCTTACACAATTTACAGTTTAGTTTTCACTCAATTATAGTAATGAAAATGGACTCAATTTAAAAACTACATATGATGGTAGTTCTATCTTATGAACGCATTAAATACCATGGAACTGTACACTTAAAAATGTTAGTTAAGTTTGTTCTATATATTTTACCATAATTTTTAAAACTGAAAAAAATCCCTATAAATGTGTACTACTAAAATGAAGTTTAAGTTGGCAATGTGTTGTTTAAAAACTTAAATAATTTCACTTTAGTTATCTTTATACAAAAGCTTAGACTTCAGACCAGCCCCATAGCATACTGGTTAAGCGCTATGCACTGGGAGTTGAATCTAAGATGGCTAACAGTGGTTTGAATCCCAGCCCTGGTGCCTTAAAAAACATGCCAGAAGTATCTGCGTGAATACTCAAAATCCTGACAGAAGTTGGGAAGTGCTCTCTTTTTCCTTCTCTCTCTCTGACAAGCACAAAAGCTCTTGAGTAAAAAAAAAAAAAAAAAAGGCTTGTTTTTAAATTGAATTTTATTTATTCTTTCATTAATTTTAATATGACCAGAGAGAGACACACACAGAGAGAAAAAGAAAGAGAGAGAGAGAGAGAGAGAGAGAGAGAGTGTGATAAAGCAAGCCACCAGGTCTGGGACTCGAACCGTAGTCAGTGATGTGGGAGTGTCCAGTGCCTTAACTACCACGCCATCTGCTGGTCCCCAAGGCTTATATTTTTTAAGTAAAAGTCTCTTGCCAAACAATAAACGGTCTAAAAAGTCTTACTAGGGGGAACCAGCAGTTAGCGTAATGGCTATGTCGCTGGATTCCCACGTAGTTGACCGTGGTTCGCGTCCCGGACCTGGTGGCTTAGAACTCACGCCGGGCGCGTGTGCGTGTGTGCCCAAGATCCCGAGAGGAGAATGGAGGAGAAGGGATTGTGGTGTGGCCATCCGCCCTGGGGGGTGATTTCTCACTTTCTGTCTCTATGTCTCTCTCTGTCTGGCAAGTGCACGTGTCCTATAGTGAAAACCTCTCAAAAAAAAAAAAAAAAGTCTTACTAGTGACAAACTTAAGACTCCTTATGAAATAAACTATTTCCCTTTTGGTAGTGTAAAAGATACAGACTAGAAAAAGAGGGTAAGTTCAAAGAGGATATTTCCTTCTTTTAAAGAAATTAAGGACAGATATGGGATAATATTTGAAAAGCAGGTAAATAGAGCCTGAGGGATAATATTCTAATATTATCTAGGGATAATATTAGGAAAATCATGAAGTATTTTTGCATAGAAAAACACGTCATGGCTTTCTCAATGACTAAATAGACCAAAAGCTCAAAATGACTTAACTTCCGCAACACTTCTTTCCTCTCTGTCACTCAGCTCAATCTAAATGCCATTGTTTGGAATGGACCTGTAAGTTCTTCCAGGTGCTTTTGTAAATTTCTGTTGATCCTCATTAACTGAAATTCCTCAAATGAGATTCAAGTATATCTGTTTTATAAAGTTCTATAGGCAGTATGTTACCAGTGACATTCAGGTGTCATTAGCAGTTTTGACAAAGGCTTAACAAAGTTGGCTCTAATTTTACTAAGTAAAATTTGATACAGAAAAAAAATCAAAATCATTACTTTTTGAAACTCTCTTAAATTCTAATAATCAGAATAATTAAGCAGAACTCATAACACTGCTGATGGTGAAAGGGGACTATTATAACATAATACAGAAAGTAATATTTTATACACATCCATTTAACAAATGATACCCTGTTAATATGTAACGGCATACTAAAACGCACAGCAGCCATGATTCTCACCTGTTGCCATTTCTGCTGGAGGTATGTATCTTTGACAGAGTATAGATACTTATTCATCTGGTCAAGAACTCCCTGATAGTACACCATGGCAGAGTCATAGTTTCCCAGCAATGCATACTCACGAGCCAATTTTACATTCTCACTAATCATAAGAAGACTCATGCTCAGCTGTAAGCTTAAAAAAGGAAGAAAAAAATTCATATTATACATCTCTTATAACAAGTACCACAAACCGTCTTAAAAGTATACTTCTTGGGGGTTAGCAGGTGGCATGGTAGTTAAGGCACTAGACTCCCACTTGGCCAACCATGGTTTGAGTCCTGGACCTGGCAGCTTGCTTTTTCACCTTGCCTCTCTCGTCAAATTTAAAATACATAAATAAATTGAATTAAATTAAAATGAAAGTATACTTCCCTGGGGCCAGCAGGTGGCATGATGGTTAAGCTGCTTGACTCCCACATGGCCAACTGAGGTTCGAGTCCTGGACCTGGTGGCTTGTTTTCTCGCACTGTCTCTTCCTGGTCGAATTGAATAATAATAATAAATAAAATATAAATGTATACTTCCTAGGATTCCCTCCAGGTCTTGCATTCACACACACTGCATATGCCATCTCTGCACATTTTCTCATGCTATTTCTATCCCTTCAGAGAAACATCTTAGTTCCCCCAACCAAGCCATATCTATGTGTCAAAGCTCCCCCAGCTCGGACAACAGTTCTCCCAGCATGCCTACGCCACGAGCAACTCTGTTCAAAATAAACTCTCTCTTCTAAAGTCTGCTGGCACTTTATTGGGACTATCATTTCAAAGTATTTTCTACTTTAAATTGTAGTTACTAAATGTCTCCTCTCTGCTAGGCTAAGTCCTTTGAGAGCAGGATTTGCTGCTAAGAGGATGGCACACAACTCTCATTAAACACCTGCAGAACCGATGTCCAGTTCATTTTTTGGAGGCAGTGTGGATTTGCTGAAAGCACACGTGTTGAAGCTAGAACAATCTCAGAATTGTTCACCACCTTGGTGAAGTCCCATACCTTTTTTCTAAGCTTCAGGTTTATTTGTCTGAATCCCTTCAATTTTCTTTTTCTTTTTTTAGAGACAGGGTCTCGCTATGTGACTGACACTGGCCACAATCCTGCCTCAGCCTCCCAAACAGCTGGGATTACAGATGTGCACCATAGCTCCTGGGTAGGCTTCAGGTTTTAGATCTGTAAAACTCTGAGAGTAGCTACTTCTGAGAGTCACACCATAGAGAAATAATGATTTTTTTTTAAAGTACCTAGCATACTACTTGGCCAAGAGTAGGTCTTCAATAATGCTAAATACATCTTCGTTGAAACTGTCTGTACATGAGAACCTAGCACTCTCTTTGCACTCAGCATGATACAGATATATATCATGCTCTGTATACATGATACATGGATACAGAACAATAGGAGGCACTTGATAAATGTCAGCCTTGTTAATGTTGCCTGTGATGGGACAGTGGCACAGTAGTAAAATGCGATCCTTGGTGAGGCTGACCCACATGGGAAAGTTCTGGGTTTCCATCTGGAGCCCTTCATGAGTACACTGGACATACATGTGTCCAACACCTGGGAGAATCATAGACTCAGGACCAATTTGGGGGTGCCCTTTCTCTCATTCATGAAAGAAATAAACTTTAAAAATAAAATAATTTTTTTTTTTTTTGGAGAGGTTTTTGCTATAGGGCGCGTGCACTCGCCAGACAGAGAGACAGACAGAAAGCAAGAAATAAGCCTCCGAGGGGGTGGCCAAGCTGCAATCCCTTCTCCTCCATTCTTCTCTCGGGATCTTGGGCACGCACGCACACGTGCCTGGCGTGAGTTTTAAGTCACTGGGTCCAGGACGCAAACTGCGGTCAACTACATGGGAATCCGGCGACATAGCCATTACACTAACTGCTGGTCCATCAAAATAATTTAAAAAAAAAATCAGTTAAGTCCAAGAATATTAAATATTGGCAAAATTTGGGAAAAAGGAAACCCTTACATACAATTTGGAGGCAAAAGCTGGCATAGTCATTTGGGAAGCCACCTGGTAACACTTAGGAAAATTGTGTATGCAAATATCCCACGAGTCAGAAAACTCACTCCTCTCTAAATATTCCAGAGACAGTCTCGCAAAGATCCATAAACAAACTTGTTTCTGGATGTTAATAACAGAACTATTTGAGCGATCAGGACACTGGAGCTAACCTATTCCCTGCTAAGGACTTTCAGAGCAGTGGCGCAAGCAGAAGGGCATCACTGCAAGAGCTAAGGCCACACAGGAGGTCAAGGTTCCAATGCCAGACCAGCCTGAACAAGTCAGGTGTGGGAGCCCATGCCTGTGGTCCTAGTGGACTGGGAGTCTGGGATAGTGGATCTTAATAGGGAAATCCTGTCAAAAACCTCTCCCTCTCCCTCTCTCGTCCCCTCCTACTCCCATGAGTATGTGTGCCTGCAAGTGTTGTGATTCCTTCTTCTCATTAAACAGGGAGCTCTGGGGGGCTGGCTCTGTGATACGGCCTAACACTGCTCAGGAGAAGCTGGACCCCACATGGTGATCACAGTTCGACTGTCCGGTCCAGTCAGCCTCAAACAGACCAGGCATAAGTGCCCAGGATCTGATGAGCTGGAGGCCTGGAGGAAGGCGATCGCAGCATGACCAGATCATATAAGGGTGCTCCTCTTTCTCCCTTTCCTTCTCTCGCTCATTCTCGCGTGCACACATGTACTCCGTCACGAATAAAAATAAAATGTGGATACTATGGAATACCACATGGCAGATGGAAGCAATAAACAAAATATACAATAACAACATGGATAAACTGCCAAAATACAAGGTTGGGCGAAACAAATTTTTAGATACAGAACAAGATCTAAATCCCAATATTGTTAAGTTTTAAAAAACGATACATAAATATTTAAAGGATATTTGCATATCCAAGAATGTATATTAAATATATTGGATAGCCTACAGAAGCTGAGGAGGAAAATGTGGGTGGAGGAACTATCAGAATAGGAGAGAAACCAATAAAATAAACAGAACAAAAGAAGGACCTTATATCCAGAGATAATCACAGTGAGACTCTGAGATGATTTTCAATGACTCGTACCTCTTGGTATCCACACATATAATCACATCCCCTTGACTGTGTGCGTGTAACGAATATGTAAAAACGATGGAATATATTTCTGAGATTAGACTGTGACTTCCCTCTTTCTTGCAGTCTCTTGCTGGCCTACTCAAAGGGGAACCAGCTCCCATGTAGTGAGCTGCCCTGTTTTGAGGCTCACACGGCACAGAACTTAGCCAGGCTCCAGGCCAACAGCCAGTGAAGAATGTGATGCAGAGGTAATGCGCTACTGAATGGAAGACAGATCCCACATAGCCAATGCTCAAATCCGTGTCCCAGTCAGCTTGAAACACACCAGGCACGCACACAACAGCCCGAGATCCAATGGCAGGAGGACGAGGGGAAGGGGACGACGGCATTGCCAGATTCTGTGGAGAGTGAGCATCTCTCTCGCTCACTCTCTCCCATGCACACATCCTATCATGAACTTTAAAAAAAGGGAGGGATGAACAACGCCAACAACATGAGTGAGTTTGGAAGTGAATACTCCTTCAGCTGAGCCTGACATCAGAGGCACCCAGCTAAATTGTGCCCAGATCCCAACCCAAAGAAACTGTGAGATAACAAAAGTCTACTGTTTTAACTAAATTTGGGGATAATTTTTTATGAAGCAATACAGCTATAAACCAAAGTTTATGAGTACCTTAAGACTGGGCATCTGAGGTCCAAAAAAGAGGGAGGGGAAAACCCATGACCTAAATAGCAACTCACTGGGGTCCTGGACACTGATAGCATTCCATTGTAATAAAAGCTCTACCGCCAGGGACCATGTCTCTGTCTTTCACTGATATATTCCCAGCACCAGAACCACGCTTGGCACACAGCAGATCTCAGTGAAATCTCTGCATAACTGAAAACTGCCAGATGTCTGTCTTAACTACCAAAGATTTCTTACCTTGTTTAGTTCCTGACCCTTGACTCTCACATTCCTTTATTCTCAGCTCATCCCTACCAAACTGGGATTATAGCTTAATTCCTGTGTGACTACATCTGCCCTGAAGCAATCCCATGTCCTATACTGACACCAGGTCTGGGCAAAAGTGCTAAAAAAAACTGTAACGGGCCAGCTGCTAGAAGCATATAGTTTTAATCTGGATTATTTTGGATACCAGGGCTCTAGTCTTTGACTCTCACTAGATCTTTCAACCCCTTTTTCCACTAATGAAAATCTAAACTGAGTTGTTAACTTACATATAAGTAGTCTCTCCCCCCACCCCCCCAAAAAAGTCACTCCAGGCCTTCTTTAAAGGTTCTGTGCTTTAAACTCATCTTTCTAATCAGATAAAATTCCTTAGAAGCCAATGAATTGACATTTTCTAACAAACAGAAATATAAAGTCAATCCAAGGCCACATGAAAAATCCCTACTTAGCAAAGAACAATGTGTTTACAGAAAATAATATCAAAACACCCTAAGTTCACTAAATGTTAGACAAAAATAATTTATTCCTGGAAGTTAAGGTAGCATGGTGGTTAAGGCACTGGATTCCCACATGGCTGACCATGGTTTGAGTCCTGGACCTGGCAGTTCGCTTTTTTACTTTCTCTCTTTGTCTTTCTCTGGTGATCAAATTTTTAAAAAATAAAATAAAACAGGGACCAGCAGATGGCATAATGGTTATGTCGGTGGACTTACCCATAGTTGACCATGGTTCAAGTCCCAGACCCAGAAGTTTTAAAACTCATACTGGGGGGTCAGCAGGTGGCATGGTGGTTGAGACCCTGGACTCCCATATGGCTGACCATGGTTCATGTCCCAGACCTGGCAGATTCCTTTCTTAGTCTTCCTTTCTCTCTGTCTCTCTCTATGGTCAAAACTGAAGAATAATGATAATAAATAAAATTAAAACAAAACAAAACAAAACAAAAAACTCATGCTGGGCGTGTGTGCGTGCATGCCCAAAATTCTGAAAGGAGAATGGAGAAGGGATTGTGGCAGGGCCATACCCCTGGGTGGTGATTTATTTTCTGTCTCTTTGTCTCTCTTGAAAGCAACATACAACAAAAATCTCTCTCTCAAAAAACATCAATTTAATTAAATAAATAATTCTTTCTGCTATAGGGCACGTGCGCTCGCCAGACAGACAGAGAGAGACAGAAAGCGAGAAATCACCCCCCAGGGAGGAT